TGTTTACCTATATAAAATAGAAATATAAATTTAATTTAACGTGTGAGTTCAGAGGAGAAAAATAACTTCACAAATATATATATATATATATATACATACATACATATCATTATATTATTATATTTTTTAATAAGTAATTACGATTATATTTTTTTCTATTTTCTCTTTTGAATTATATACAATTAAATTTTTTTTAATTATACAATTATATTTATATGTTTTTGTTTTTAAATTTTTTTATTAAAAATATATTTTCCGGATAACAACACAATATATATAGAAATTATCTTTTTCTTTTAAATATATATTTAGATTATGGATGATTCTTATCATTATTATTAATTTTAATCATTTATCTAATCAAATAAGTATTAAATTCGTTTTTATTTTTGGCTAATTTATATATTTTATTCATTGAGGGTATAATCGATATTAACCACTCCAACTTTTAACGTGAGAGCTCCGTTGCGAAAAATCACTTCGCATATATATACATACATACATATCATTATATTATTATATTTTTAATAAGTAATTACGATTATCTTTTTTTCAATTTTCTCTTTTGAATTATATACAATTAAATTTTTTTTAATTATACAATTATATTTATGTGTTTTTGTTTTTAAATTTTTTTATTAAAAGTATATTTTCCGGATAACAACACAGTATATATAGAAATTATATATATTTAGATTATGGATGATTTTTATCATTATTATTAATTTTAATCATTTATCTAATCAAATAAGTATTAAATTCGTTTTTATTTTTGGCTAATTTATATATTTTATTCATTGAGGGTATAATCGATATTAACCACTCCAACTTTTAACGTGAGAGCTCTATTGCGAAAAATCACTTCGCAAATAATATTATAGATAACCAACCAATATCTTCTTTTTATGATAAATTTTCATAAACATAAGTATATAACCAACGACACTGTATAAATCAACACACGACAGTTGATTTTGTGGCGATAACCCGTTTTTCTGATGATATGGTGATGCTTAATAGCTCTAACCTATGCACGGAATTTAGCAGTTGAAACAACAAGAATCAGTGTGTGAACAAGCCTGTTTTAAAATCTAAAACAATTCAAGGCAAGATTGTGTGAATGTGGTCTCTTCTTTAATACCCTATATATTAATTTGAGAAACATCTAAAAACTTGTAACCTTAAGTTTGTATTAATTAAAAAATAATCACATCCTACATGACATCTTTCTATGCTTTCTACTTCAATTTAGAATGACTCTAGAGCACTTTGTTTTTATATAAAACATAGTTTTAAAATAAGGTATGCTGGTCTCATATAAGACATACCAAACTAAATAATATATCAAACTAAATCTTTTATATATTACTTCTTAAATAAAACCTACGGAATTACCTAATGTGATTAACATATATATGACTATTAATGATTTTAAATAACAAAGATTTGTTAACAATCTGTATACTTTATATCATTTTTGTTAAAATTTTGATTATTAAAATAAATTACACAACTACACTAATCATATAATAAAATTTTAGATTTTTTATATATGTTGTGTTTTTGAAATTTTTAAAAAGAGTATAAATTACTAATACTGTTAAAAATATCATATAAACTTTGTGATCAATGTCTAATTTTTTTCTATAATAAATTACAATGATTATAAAATCATATGAATAAATATGTTTATGTTAATATCTATACTATTATTTGCGAAGTGATTTTTCGCAACGGAGCTCTCACGGTAAAAGTTGGAGTGGTTAATATCGTTTATACCCTTAATGAATAATCAAAAATTTCAATATATAAAAAAAACAAAAAAAAAACGAATTTCAATTGATTAGATTTATCTTTATCTAAAACTATTTTATATTGGATTTTAAAATCTTTATTAACCTTGAAAAATAATTATATTTGTTATATAGAATTAATTATAAATTAAAAACGAATTTCATTTATTTGATAATTATCCTTATTTAAAAAAATATGTTATGTTTATCAACCTTGAAAAATAATTATATTTGTTAATATATAATTAATTATAAATTAAAAACGAATTTCATGAATTTGATAATTATCCTTATCGAACTTTTTATATTATGTAATTATGTTATAAAGTCTTTATTAACCTTGAAAAATAATTATATTTGTTAATATATATTTAATTATGAAAAAATAAATTTGCAAATAATATATGTATAGATAATTTATATTATGTTATCTAAAACATTACTAAAGTTAATTTTATTATACTTCTTTTTGTTATGTCTAGAAAACATATTAATTTATTACTAAATATTTTAAATTTATGAGAATTTCACATTTAATTTGTGCAATGATAATTATTTATACGACTAGTATTACACCTAGGGCTGGGCAAAAAACCTGGATCCGAAGAACCGAACCGAACCCGATCCGAAAAAGTAGTATCGAACCCGAACCGAAATTGATTCAATATTCGAATGGGTTCAAAATTTTGGTATTTAAAGAACCGAAACCAAACCCGACCCGAACCGAAGTATTTCGGGTACCCGAATATATCCGAAAGAGATTTATATACCTATATATATATTAATTATTTTAGATTTAATATATATAAAAAACATTCAGTATATATATAAAATACTTTGAAGTTATTCAAAATAGTTGTAAATATATGTAAATAGTCAAACATACATGTCTAAAATTGATAAAGTACACTAAAAACATCAAAAATACTTAAAAAAATTATTGATTCACAATCCAAATATTCAAATCAAACTAATTTATATGTTAATTTTAGATATTTTAACTTATGTTATTCAATTATTTGTAGTATATTATTTTGTTTATAAATTTTTAGAAATGTAAAGTATATAATCAATTTTAAAATTTTAAAAAAAGAATTTAAATGGGTTGTCCGAACCCGAACCGAACCCGCAAAAATCCGAACCGAACCCAAACCGAAATTTAGAAATATCCGAATGGGACTAATATTTGTGAAACCGAAAATCCGAAACCCGAATAGATCCGAACCGAACCCGAATGGGTACCCGAACGCCCATCCCTAATTACACCCATGCTACGCATGGGGATACTTTTTCTTACAAATAATACAAATTTTAAATATATAACTAAAAATCTAAATTATTTAACTTTGCGTTATCAGAAGAATATACACATATATATATAAGAAATTTTCTAGGAGATAAACAAATAGTATCTTCTAGTATATATTTTGCTATTAGAAAAATCCAAGCTTTAGCTGTCTAAAGGAGATAACACAAGGAGGAAGCAAGATTCGTAGCCCAAATATATGACTGATATAAATGTACATGTTTTGATAAAATATAAATATAAGTATTCACTATTATGATTACAATTTTAGTTATACATTTATAAAAAATAGAAAATATTTTACGAAGTATGATAAATAGTTAGAGGTGTTTTAAATAAAAAGCAGACACAATATTAAGAAACATCTATACTATTAAAGCTGAAGTACAAAAATAAAGTGTTTGGAAACATGAATAAGAAAATTTTAAAAGTTTGATTGGAAACATAGATATCATACAAATTTAATGGGCTTATTTATTATACTAAAGATTAATGCGGCCCAAGGTACCATTATTATTGTTTTTTGGATTTTCTATCATTGATATTACTTTGCTTCTAAAAATTATTTATACATATATGTATTCATGTTTTAAATGTATTTAGAATAAATTAAGAATAATATATATTTTATTTATATAATTTATATTGACTATTCTTATAAGTTTTTAACAGTGATATAATAGCCTTCCAATTCTTCATTAAAAAATTAAATTAAAAAATTTGACTAAATTATTTAGTGTATATAACTTTACACCAAATTTAGTCAAAAAACTTTTTAAAATATTACTAAAATGTTTACGGGTCACAATATTTTAAGACGCCTCTGTTACACAATACAATAATGAAATACAATATTTAAACAATATATTATTACTTAGTAAAATTGGCACCATTAAATTATAATTTTGAAACATTATATATACCATAAAAATAAAGATCCGCCTAGTCGGGCGGGTTATGATCTAGTATGTATTAAAACTTATAGCAGCTAAATACATTATTATTATATCTTTGTAATTAAACCTATTAACCAAAAAAAACACTGTATACTAACGATTCTTATTTTTTCATTGTTCTGTTTTGTGAAAAAATAAACAAATATCAATGTTGAAATGAAATCTAAGTCAACCGTTGTTGATGGTTTCATTTAAATAATCTTACAAATGCTTTGTAGTAGAGATTCACAAAATAAGTCAAAAGGTGATGATGAATGGTTATGATATTAGAAAAAGCAACAACTCACCGAAATGTTAGAGATAGCATTCATAAACCCGGGTGTCTAGATGCTTTTCCTTTTGCTGGTTTGATCTTCACTGAAAAATCTGTTTGCATATAAATGTTATAACAGCACGTAACTGAAAGATTGATTTTTGACTGGCGATAAAAACTCTGCAAAATGAATTAGAGTAAGAGACTGGTAAAAAGTAAACATGAAAACTATCATTCCTACCTGTCAACAATGTGTCGTCAACCATACATAAAATCTCCGCAAAGCTCTGCTTCATTTACGAAACAAAAGACTAACCTTTTTTTCTTTTCTTTTCAAGGGAGAATGAATGTTTTGAAATTCTTTGATTTCAGTTCTTTTGTGTCCGGGTTCCACCATCTCAGAGACTCACATTTTGCTTTCCAATTGATGGAGTGTTTTTTTAGTGTTTAGTATAGGATTAAAAGAACTAAGTTAATAATACACAAAGATCGTGAATTATTTTAAATTATTTTTCCACATGTCAATTATTTTTCACATTTTGCTTTCTCCCATTTATTATTACTGTTCTTAAAATCTTTTCCACATGTCAATTATTTTAAATTATTTTTTTACATGTCAGTTTTTGATTGGCCAGCCGACTTGTGCTTTAATATATAGAGGATAAGTGAAACGTGAAAAGAATTGGCCAAATCTGGAGTTAATTAAAACCGAGCCAAACCGGATTCAATCAAGTATCGAGAAAATAAACCGATCGGTTTATTACATGTAGAAAAAAAAAATTGATCCTTTCCTTTCGTGTGAGAGTGAACAAAAGAAGCAAATCCACCACCTCACGATCTGAACAACCCCTCCCGGAGCGACTCGGTCGTGTGACTCAGTCCGAGTGAACTACCCTCCGAGTTTCAATTTTTTTTCTCCCTCCTCGATTCAACAACCATGGACATGAACTCGATGGCCGCTTCGATCGGCGTATCCGTCGCCGTCCTCCGATTCCTCCTCTGCTTCGTCGCGACGATCCCCGTCTCCTTCGCCTGGCGAATCGTCCCGAGTCGACTCGGTAAACACATCTACGCCGCCGCTTCGGGCGTTCTCCTCTCGTACCTCTCCTTCGGGTTCTCCTCGAATCTCCACTTCCTCGTCCCGATGACGATCGGATACGCTTCCATGGCGATCTGTAGACCAAAGTGTGGGATCATCACTTTCTTCTTAGGTTTCGCTTATCTCATCGGATGGTAATAATGGTTTTTGATGGTTTGAAATCAACGAAAGTTTCTTCCTTTTGATGGTTTTGATGATGGGTTTTGTGTGTAGTCATGTGTTTTATATGAGTGGTGATGCGTGGAAAGAAGGAGGGATTGACTCCACTGGTAAATAAAGTTCCTTCCTTTTTTTCCTTTTTTGTATACTCTCTTGCTAATGATTCACCTTCTTTTTGATGTAACATTAGGAGCGTTAATGGTGTTAACGCTGAAAGTAATCTCGTGTTCGATTAACTATAACGATGGGATGTTGAAGGAGGAAGGGCTACGTGAAGCTCAGAAGAAGAATAGACTAATTGAGATGCCTTCTTTGATTGAGTACTTTGGTTACTGTCTCTGTTGCGGTAGTCACTTTGCTGGTCCTGTTTACGAAATGAAAGATTATCTCCAATGGACTGAGGGGAAAGGAGTAAGCTTCTTTCTTCTTCTTGAATCTTGAGTACTCACTGTCAGAATCTTTAATAGGCTTTTTTTTTGGTGCTTGTCTAGATTTGGGGTACTAAGCAGCCATCACCTTATTTAGCTACACTGCGAGCTATCTTTCAAGCTGGGATTTGTATGGGTCTGTATCTCTATTTAGTGCCTCAGTTTCCGTTGACTCGGTTCACCGAGCCCGTGTACCAAGAATGGGGATTTTGGAAGAAGTTTGGGTACCAGTACATGGCGGGACAAACGGCTCGTTGGAAGTATTACTTCATATGGTCAATCTCGGAGGCGTCTATAATCATCTCTGGTTTGGGTTTCAGTGGTTGGACTGATGATGCTTCACCAAAGCCTAAATGGGACCGTGCCAAGAACGTAGACATTCTCGGTGTTGAACTTGCTAAGAGTGCGGTTCAGATTCCGCTTGTTTGGAACATACAAGTCAGCACCTGGCTCCGTCACTGTAAGTATATCTATAAAGAGTGAAGTTATATGAGAGAGAGAGAGACTAAACATTTATAAGCATTGTTTTAAAATGCAGATGTGTATGAGAGACTAGTGAAGAGTGGGAAGAAAGCAGGTTTCTTCCAGTTACTAGCTACACAAACCGTCAGTGCGGTTTGGCATGGATTGTATCCTGGTTACATGATGTTCTTTGTTCAATCAGCTTTGATGATCGCTGGCTCAAGAGGTTAGAGTTGCACTCTTTTTTTTCTTTCTAGGTGGCATTTCTTCTTCTTTGATCTAAATATGTTATCTTTTGCAGTTATTTACCGGTGGCAACAAGCTATCAGTCCAAAGTTAGCAGTGGTGAGAAGTATCATGGTGTTTATCAACTTCCTTTACACCGTTTTGGTTCTCAACTACTCAGCCGTTGGTTTCATGGTAATAAAACTTAACCTTGTTTTTTTCTCTTCCGTCGCACTTATGGATCACTCTAACGCAATTTTTGTTGAAATTGTGATCTTTCAGGTTTTAAGCTTGCACGAAACGCTCACTGCTTACGGAAGCGTATATTACATTGGAACAATCATACCTGTTGGATTGATTCTCCTCAGTTACGTTGTTCCTGCCAAACCCTATCGATCAAAGCCACGCAAAGAAGAATAAACTGTTGTCTTCTTGTTCGTGTAACATTGGGAACTAACCCGTCCGGTTCTTGTTTCTTTCTGATTTTATGTTACAGATTGTTTCGTTTGTTTTTCTTTCATATATTTCTGTTGCTTATAAATTTCTTTTTTTTATCAAGTTTCTTTTATAGAAAGAATCTGCAGTTATATCTACAGTTAAAAGTATAATCATGTGAATAATGTGGAAACATATAGTGTGTACCATAAAGATTGCAAAGTAATTTTCCAGGAGATGGTATCTCGAGATGCTCATCCTGATATTGTGACGTAATGGATTTAGTAATTCAAACAAAAAAAAACATGTTTAGTTTTAGTAAGTTTAGTAAAATATTAATACACGGGATTGACATATAATTGGATATAAATGCATATTAAAAATGTTCATCTAACAAGCTTCAGACAAATATTAGGTAGAGAGAAAGCTACAGAGAAGATTAATGAAGGACACGCGCATGTGACACTCACGAGACAGCTTGAAGCCTTGATTCTTTATTGGCCTACATGTCTTCTTGTCTGTAAGGCTTAACACTTTCTACTATTATTTATTTATATTTATTTCAACATTTTCTTGTGTATTATTACTCATGTTAAACATTTAAGTTCATCGTCATCAAACTCGTCACTCATCATTCTACTAATTCGAATACAATCTTCTTTTTTTTTTTTGAGGAAGGGTATAATTCGAATACAAGTTTTGAGTGAGTCTATAATCAGTTAGGAATTATAGTACATTGTAATTTTCACGTGCCCTATACTCTTGTAAGTTACTTATTACAAGTAATTATTATTAAACAGGACTGTTTGTAGATGATAAATATACCAAAACTACATTAGATATTAAAGAGTAACAGATGAAAGTTTTCAAAATGTAATCGCAAGAGAGTTTAAATTAGTTGAACAGTCTGAATCAAATGGTTAGGTATGTTTATCAGCGAATTAGAGCATCTCCAAAAATCCCTTGTAACTTTAAATATAAAATTTTGTGCACTTTAAAAGCAACCTTAAAACTTTAAATTTCAAGGTTTTGTACAGTGAAACCTCAAATATAAAGTTTTACTATACAAAACCTTATATTTAAGATTCCTTACTTTTCTAGTTATTTTACTTGTGTAACTTTCAAATAAAGTCAATCACTTTTTCATTTAATCATCTTAATTCTTTTTAATAGAAAATATTTAACAAACTGCAATAAATATTATACAAAATAATATTACAGAAAATAAAATACAAAAAATTGAAAATACAAAATAATATTACAACCTTAAGTGATCATATGTGGGATCATTATGGAACTAATTATAATGAATAATTATGTAATTTGTTTAAATTTCATGATTTACTTTGTATGTTTTTATTTATATTGAAGGTTTTAATATAATATAATATATTTTTTATTAATTTTGTTTTATAATTATTTTGTTTTATAATAATTTTGTTGGATATTTTATAGTTATTATAAAAGATTTATACTATTTACTAAGTTTTATTAAATATAATGATTGTTATGTAAAATATTAAAGTTTTAAGGTTTATTATAAGGTTTTGTTTTTAGAAAAGAACACCCAAAAATCTTATTTTAAAGTTTTTCTCAAACCTTAAAATAAATGGACTTTTGGAAAAGCTCAATGAAGCCTGCGAAATTACCAATTCTATGTGTAACTACAAAACTTTACCTGAACTTGTTTTTTGCTAAATTGATTTCCATTACAGATAAACTAGTAAACAAAAAAATGTAGTCACCCTGCAAACTATCAATAAAACGCAGATGCGTTTAAATATATACTAATCTTAACTATATATATTTATGGAGTAGTACAGATCTAGTGGTGGAATTTCGAATAGTGAAAAATCTCTATGCATGTAGGTATACGTCACTCATAGATCGCGTCTCCCATTAGTAGTCTTTCACTATGAAGTCTTCTTTGTTGGTCACTACTATATAATATAAATATATAGACTTCTCTATGACATGATAGTATCAATACTCCATATGGACTAGCATGGATTTTAACTAATGTTTCACTCTATAAAACTATAAAATAAACCACAAGTAAATAGGTTTATATTTCACATTAGCTGGAATTTACATATCTTAAAGTATTTTGAGGGATGGAATAAAGGGTGAATCAATTGGCACATGTTATAACTTATGCGTAGTTTGTAACATCGTACTTAGAAATAGTTCCCACGGAAATCCCACGTGTTACTCACAGCTAATTTACTTAATATGGAAAAGGGTCACGTGTTCCATATCCACAAAACAAATATAGAAAGAATATCTTTCTTTAAAAAAAAAAAAAAATTGTGGTCCAATGTGCTGGCCCCAACTTCCAGATTTTAATTATAATAAGTTAAATTAACGCGAAATTATTCTGTTTGATCAAAGATTCCAAGAATGTTTTGAACCACACTAATCTCTTAAATCAAAGGGTAGCCGTACCTACTACATTAGTCATTAGCACATAGTTTATGTGCCTTTAGACGGAAGCTTAAACAAATTGCTCTAACTTTTCTTTTACGACGATTTTCACTCATATAAAATAAAAGTAAATTATATAAATTGTACACGTGTCATTAAAAGTGTATGTGTGTGAGTTTATAACAAAAATAAATAAATTTGTTCTATTAGATGGCAACCAACTAACTTAACCAGTTGAGTGTTTGTAAATTTTTTTTAAATTATACATTTCACCCGCCATTTACTTACCCTTTTTAACTTTTTATAATTTACCAGCTTGAGCTTATTCTACATTTATACTGAAAGAAAAATGTTAGATGCAACGTTCATTCTTTTTTTTTTGTCAGCAGATGCAACTTTCATTCAATCTTGCAATACACAACACTAATACAATAATTTAGTTTAATTCATCTTGATAATCAAAATTTTCAATTAATTACTAACCAGGGTTAAACATATTGCCAAATTAAAGTAATGTGTTATAGCTATAGAAAACAACGATATATAAACAATATTTATTCATTTTCATTTACAGAATTAACAAAAAATAAAGACTACTGTTTTTTCCTATTATTATACTAATGGGAACTTTTAATAAATTAATATTTTTGTATATAATCTACAAATATTATTTTTGTAAGTAAAATTTAGTAAAATATCCTAAATAATTTAGTAGCCTTTACTAGATTAGATGTAATAATAGTGGTATTTTGAAGTAAACCTTGCATAATTTCACTTTACAAATTATAAGAGTAGAAAAATCAAATTAGGCATTTTTATTAGTTAAGTAAGAGGGTCCCAGAACGGTATGGCTATAATGGGATCAAGCTAATACTAATAACAGCTAATAACGGTGTGTTACGCGCGTACATATCGCACTATGTGGGTCCCATCACCGTAGCCTATATATATTCCCCTCTCCTTCACTTCTCTGCTTCATAACTCCCAACCGAAAAAACAAAACAGAGCATAACTTAGACAAAACAAAACAAAACAAAAGACCACTTTTTATTCGAACAATCTTCAAAATCTTTGTACAAGAATCGAACTTACATCTTATCTTACAGTATCCAGTGAGATATTTTGGTTTTTAATAGTATTTTTCATAGAAGTTAAGGCGGAGTTATTTTTTCTTTTTATTATGAATAATAACGATGAGATTATGCTTGCGGAGATGACACCAAAGAGGCGTGCGGGAAGAAGAGTGTTCAAGGAGACACGTCACCCAGTCTACAGAGGAATAAGGCGGAGGAACGGCGACAAATGGGTCTGCGAAGTCCGAGAGCCGATTCACCAACGCCGCATTTGGCTCGGGACTTATCCCACGGCTGAGATGGCGGCGCGTGCACACGACGTGGCGGCTTATGCTCTGCGCGGGAGATCCGCGTGTTTGAATTTCGCCGACTCGGCCTGGCGGCTTCCGGTACCGGAATCAACCGATCCCGACGTCATAAGACGAGTGGCGGCAGAAGCGGCGGAGATGTTCAGGCCGACGGAGTACGAGAGTGGAATTACGATTTTACCCTCTTACGGGGATGAGGTGGACTTGGGTTCTGGTTCTGGTTCGGGATCGGAGGAGAGGAATTTGTATGGATATGTGGAACAAGAAGAAGAAGAAGTTTCGACGACGATGATGAGACTCGCGTCGGAGCCGTTAATGTCGCCGCCGCGATCGTACATGGAAGGAATGACTTCTAATAACTACATGGAAGAAGACATGTCTTACGAAGAAGATATGTCATTGTGGAGTTACAATTATTAAGCGTGACTTAATAGGCATATATGTTTGAATATATGTTATCGTATTTGTGTGTTGTGTAAGTGTGTACATGTGTGATAGATCCTAGTTCTAGATCAATAGTGTGTGAAATGAATTGTAAGTTTTTCCTAGTACTAATCCTCTGCCTAAAAGGTTCCTTGACAAATTGTATTGTTCTTTATAAGGTTCTATAAAAATGGTTAGGCTTTATGAATCCATGTACAAAGTGTAGGCCCAATTAAAATTAAGCTTCAACTTACTGATATTCTTGACCTTCACAAGAACCTCACTGATGTTAACAAGTAGATTTTCTTACTGACTATGTAGTTTAGATGGTAACATTATTCGGCAATTCAGTTTGAAACATTAACAGTTAATACAAATGCAAAGAAAAGTTTGGGTTTGTCATTATTTCAGTTTAGTTGGCTTTTTTATTTTGGTGGCACTGTTCATGCAATAATCAAAACCCAAATAGTTTGTGTTTTAATTTGAATAAATTAATACCAAAACCTCAGTCGTTCAGCGTCTGTAGTCCAACGGTTAGGATAATTGCCTTCCAAGCAATAGACCCGGGTTCGACTCCCGGCAGACGCAATTTTTTCCCCTCATGGAAACCATTTTTACCTAATTATAACCTAGCAAATTTTTCAGCTGAGGCCAATTCCATAGAAATATTTTACTACCAAACAAAGACAATACATAACCAAAATAAGATGTCTACAGAGAATAAATATATGCTTATAAGAGTCTTCTTCAATTTGTTCTAGCAGACGAGTGACAATCTAGCTAGGGATGGAGCCGTGGGAATATGCGTGAGATGCCCATCGGTTTATTTGTCAGCTCTTTCACATAGTAGATTTTGGTGGTTTAGTTCATGAGTTCCAGTGGAAACACCTGTAAAGAAGTTGATACAAATGCAAACCAATAGAACCATGAAATCAGCTGAACATAATACATTTTCCGCTTAAGTTTAGTTCTTGTGAAGTAACTCACGTAAGTACAAACATATTTAAATACTCGTCAGTAAATAACACCACAAAAAAATTGAAAGTCTGCATATTCTGTTGACTGTCAAAATTATTTAAAATGATGATCAGTACTGCAATTTTCCTCTCATTTAAATCAAAAATATTTTCACCTAAGGGCATGTGCATTAGTGAACTGGGGAGAGGATCACCACGTGTTCAGTATATTGATTTTTTAATTTTTTCATTTGCTTTTTTAAAAAAGAAAAAAAAATAACCGAGCTAATCGCGCCATGTGGCATGGATCCCGTGATGAACCAGGTTCATCCCAGCAAACCTGCACGAATCGGGATCACCAAAATTATCTTTTTATTTATTTATTTGAAAAACGTGTGAACCTTTAATGCAGATGCTCTAACATACCGGGCTGCAACCAGCGGTCCATTGCGAGACGGCCATTAAAACATCTCATAAATCATTATTTGTTTTTGACTAATCTCATAAATAATTATTACAAATATATATTTACAGATTACTTTATGTAGTGTCACAATTTCTGTAGTGCATTTCCTATAAATTTTATCGGTGCATTTGGTTTCTTCTCCGCTGATACTACATCTACGTTCATTTTCTTTAGAATTAGGTGAACTCTTTATATTGCCTCTAGCTATATATATAACGAAAGGATTGAAACTTCTATCCCAAGTTCTCAACCATAGGTTATCACAAACCTTATAAGAAGCCACATACATAATAATACTTATCTACATAGGCACCAGATACATTAGGCTAGCGAATGAGTCTTACCGTTGAGTAGAAGCCAAAGTGGCGTTTCAGCCGCCAATGGGGCAGTGGCATGCAAACCGCTGTGAGAGATGGCTTACTGGAGGTTGGAATCGAACAATGGCTTCACTTATGATCACATTGCATGGCACCAAATTTGGCGGTACTATTTTTTATCAGAACGGCCATAGACACACCGCCGAAATTTGCCAGAGTACGCCAATCCCGAGGGTATTATCGTTTTTGCATGTTACTGTTCACCGGATCTTGTTTAGGACACGAGGTACGTACTTAATGCAGTTAATATATGCTACACTAGTCATTACATGCAAATGTAGTTAGATTTATCACACTACTAGGTGATTTCCCGTGCTCATGCACGGGTATATATATTCATAAAAATAAAATTTTATAATAATTGATTGATATTTAGTTTTAGTTTTTAAATAAATTTATATGTATAATTTATATTAATAAATATTATATTATTCTAATTATACATATGAATTTTGATATATTATTGTCGGTTTAATTATTTTTTGGATCAATAGTCGGTTTGGTTATCAATTTGGTGGATAATATCTACTTTTCGAATTCATTATAATATTTTTTATTCTAAATATAATAAAACTTTGATTAATTTTCTTATTTTCATTTTGGTTGGTTATTGTCTTAGATATGTAAATATATTCTTAGATATGTAAATATATTATAGTTAAATTATGTATAACTTAATATATATTGTGCTTAAAATAAAATAAATAATAAGCTGAAGTGTTTGATTCAAAATTACATAAATGAATATAGTGATAATATTTTTGAAGTCTCATGCATATATATAACTTCTACATAAGAATTAAATTGTAATTGGTTAATATTTTCTTTTTCTTTTTAATATGCTTTGAGTCAACCTCTAATTTATATATAAAAAATTAAATAGATTATTATTATTATTATTACTATTATATAATTATATTTTCTTATTGTAGTTAGATTTTTAATTTTGAATATAAATTAGATCAGACGAGTCATTCATTTTGTGAGTATATTGAGTTACATCTATTTTTAAATTAAGCATTTTTCACACTCTCTCTCTTCATATTAAGCACCTCCTTCCTCCTAAGCACTTCTCTAAACACCTTTGGATAAACATGCTCTTAAGATGCCGAAATTTTTTTGCATTGAGGTTTTTGCTTAGCTATAACAGTACAAATTTTGCAAGAAAAACAAGTTAAGAATTACATAACAGAGCACATTGACAACAGATGGATTACAAACCAAAACATAAATCAACAACAATTACACAAAGAACAACTTTCACCATAAACCCTAAAAAAATTTTTTTAACCCATTTATTCGATTTTGAAAGACTTCCTTGTCGGAATCTTGGTTCAAGACCTTAGTCCATTATCAACCTTTGATCTCTATCTTCTTATTTGGTTCGAACACAAACTTAACAAGAGATTCCCTTATAGACAACATCTCCGGAAACTCTGTTTTCAACTTAGTAGCATCAAGCTCATTATTACTCCTCGGAGCTACAATCACTTTCGCCTGTTCTTCCAACGTGAAGTTCTTCCAAGTGAAACTCGGATCAATAAACTCTCTATACATCTCTAGTATCTCATTATGACTCACAACCCCAGGATTAGTAAAGTTCCATATCCCAGTCAAGTTCCTCTTCGCCATCTCCAGTGAGATAGGGAGAAGCTCATCAAGAATCGTCATGGAGTTTGGAATGTCCACGACTTTTTCATACCGAGTTATCTTGGTGATGAAGTTTCTCGGGTTTGAGAGATCCGATGAGATAGGCATCCTTACACGGAGCGTGCACACGTTCTCATAGTTCTTGAGCAGTTCCTCTACCTATTACACATAAACCATGGTTAGAGCATCTCCAACCCAATACTTTATTTTAAAGAAAACAAAATTTCAAAATAAGAATTTGTAAGTTGATTATTCTGACGATAAATTTTCAAAAAATCCTTAAATATTTATTTATTTGTATTATAGTCATTGACATAAATAAAAATTACTAATAATGATAAAATTTCACATATATATATATAAAACATATTGTTAATATGTTATATATTACAATATTATATAACAAAAATAATATAAATTACAGATATAATAAAAACAACACACATACACACGCAAATTTTAGAAAATTACATATAAAATACTAAATTCCTCAACCATTGTTTATGTAATGTTCTCATATGTGCTTAGTCAAGGCAAACATTATGTTAGTTTGTTTAATATATTTTTATTTTCTATGAGTTTTATTAATGTATATTTTTATTTTTGTAAATTTTATTATGTAATGTTCTATTTTTTTTTATTTTGGTGTACTTAGATTCTTATAAATAAAGTTAATAGATGTATTTGCGAAAGAAAATAATTGTTATGATCTGGTATGATTATACCAATACTAATTAAACTAAACCGGATTAAACCGGAACAAGTGAAGAAGTGTCTGACCACAGCCTTTGTCTTGGAGTAAAAGGAACCGGTGAAATTAGGCGCGTCCTCTTCCTTAAACCCGAGACCCGACCCGAGAGGATGATCCGAATCGTACTCGAATATACAACCCGTGGCGTAATTGATCAGCACGAGGCCTCTCTCCTTACAAACGTCGGCTAGATTCAGAGTTCCGACGACGTTTGTACGGATGGTCTCCACCTTGTGAGACTCGCACCAGTCCACGTTCGGTCGTCCGGTGACTCCGGCGGCGTTGAAGACATGACTCGGCTCGACGGAGTCTAGATCGGAGATGAGCGATCGGCGATCCTCGAGCCGGCCTGAACCGTAAGCGTATGGGATTCCCTGAGCTTCGCAGAGCTTGCCGAGAGTACCGCCGATCCAGCCTGTTCGGCCGTAGATTAAGAAGTTCAGAGATGACGATGAGCCCATCCTCTCTGTTGTGATCGGAGGTTTCACCGGAGAAGAAGAGTGTGTGGATGTGACTTCTCTGAGAAAGTCGTTATTTATCCTATTTTTTGAAGGACAGGCTTTTAATTTTGCCGCCCTATGTTTTTTTATATTTACTAATTAACCCCAGAGGTTTTATTTGTTATGTAGCACTCCCTCAAATATGGTCAACGCAAGTTTTGTGTTTCTGTCCCATTAGCTTATCTTTAGATGCATTTTATATATAGAAAAGTATTCTAATTGTACGATTTTATACTAGTCGAGGTAAAACATTTCGTGGATTCTTGTATGTTTTATATTTAATTGATAAAGCTAAGAGCATGATTATTGGAGTTTTTTAGTGGGTTTTTTAGGGAGTTTTTATTGCGTATGTCCCATGAACAGTATAAGAATCAGTTACAAGAATTATGAATTAAGAATCGATTCTTAAGGATTTTTTTGTACTGTTTGCGGGTTCCACTGACACGTGATGGTCCCCGATTGTTTCGTTTTTAATTTTTTTAGTTTTTTTTTTTAAGATAAAAGAAAAAAACTTAAGAAACCCAAGTGGGTTTTTGGGATAATGATGCCCTAAGGACTTATATGGTAAGAGCAGGTTTATTGGGGTCCCTTAGAAGGGGTGTTTAGCATAATTGGGCTTTAAAAATAAAGCAAAAATCGGGTTAAAGGAAGGGGCGTTGCTTTATTAAGTGCCCGAAGGGGCGCTCCTTACCTGCCACGTGTCGCGATGCTACTGGAGAGATGAGAGGTGGCGGAGTTACCACAGATTTTTGTTTCTTCCTTTCTCTTTGGGTTCGTCTTCTATCATGTGGGAAAGAAGATAGAGTTTTCTGATCTGGATCGGATTTTCAAGGGGGAAGTGTTCAGTGTGTTAGTTTTAATTCTCGAGGTAAAACGAGTTTTAAAGATTCGGTTCGGAACACATGCGTGACAAAGAAGCAGGGACATTTCTCGGTGGGGGTGAAGTCTGTTGCGTCTGCTCCGTCTCCAGCTCCTCCTCCGGGGAGTGAAGAAAGGAAGAAGGAGAAGAAGAGCTCTGAGTCTAATTCAAGGACTTGGATTACTGTTGGTTCTGTGTTGGGTGGATTGGTGTTGTTAGGGTTTTTGATGTTTCTGGTTTTGAGGTGTCGGAGTTACAAGGAGGAAGAGAAGATGAAGGAGATGAATGAAGATATGCAAATTCTATCTTAATTAAAGAACTACCAATAAACCTCTATTATTAAGTGTCCCTTGACAAAATTCCTTATCTACATTTTAATAGTTAAAAAATCACTAAAGTTCACTTAAGGAACCTTTAAAGGTTTTAGCAATAAACATGCTCTAAGGTTTCAAAGTTGAGGTGTAGGACTGAAATTAAATTTAGATTAATATTTCAGACAGAGGATCCGTCAAGGTAGTGCCGTGAGGAATTAATTAACACGAGGTGATTACTAGTATTTTAATACAAAAAGTAATTACGAATATTTTACTTTTGATGAAACAACCCCAACGTTTTTCATGTGTTACAATATTTAAATATTGAAACCCGTTGGCCTTAGTTTGAACTCACCACGAAAGATTATACTATTAGAAAGAAAGAAAAAGAATCCATGTCTAATCATGTATCCACGTCGTAAGTTTTCCTTGACTAGTTGATTAAGCTTATGAATTAATGAAACTAATTATGTTCTATGATAATACACCTCCGCCACTCTTGTTCGTATTCATTCCACACAACACAAAACATTATATTTCTTCTAACAATATATTTTGTAATACAGGAGGAGAGAAGGGACCAAAAAGAAAGTCAAATGAACAGTACTAGATAGAAATCACACATTCTCCAATTTTGCATTACATATTTAGAACTCTCTATTTTAAAAATTCGTAATTTATAAAAGGGGGATCTCATCCATGTCCCCGTATAGGTACTGCAGCTAGATGATCAGCTCGTTAGCTAGGTATGTAAATTAGAAAATCATTGTGACAAATTAGTGATTTTTGTAACCTTTCTGCATGCCAATTGTTCAATGATGTATATTTTTATGACACACTAAGTTTTTAAAAACAAATCTGAGAAGTCCTGTCAAAAATGAAAAAAAAAATGCGATTTATAGGTAGAATTTTTTTCAGAGGTACACAAAAAGGAAAAAATGACACATTGATAACGCGAAATGAAAGTCTCTTAATCAAGTAGTGTTTGTTGACTTCATCATCGTGACGTAGATAATGAAGAGTTATATATCACAATTACATACATACGTTATACATTAGATATGTATAACATAAAGCTGGGCCATCCACAACAAAAGGCCATCGAAGCTTCTTAAAATCCCAAGAACAAAAACAAAAGAGAGAGAGAACTCATAAAAGAAGAAATCCCGTTTGGGTTTTCATGGGAAAACCGTAATTCTTCAGCGGAAATTGGTGTAACTATTGTAAGTTTTACCAGCGTTCCAGTTACTCGGAGCAACGTTCCAAGCATAGACGGTTTCACCGGTGGTGTAAGAAGTGACCCGGAAAGAGAGAGACTGACCGTAGAGAGAAGAAAAAGCTTGGTAAGAGGCTCCCCAGTTGTGGCTCATGCTTATCCAATTGGTCCGGCTACCTTTCACAGCCATGCTCTTGATGTCTCCGGCGCCACCAACATTCATGACGAAGATGAGAAGCCAATATGCATTGCCTTGGAACTGAAACCTCATACCTCCACTCCTTTTGCATGGGACTCTACATACATCAAATCATTCGCATAACAAAATATATTAGCTACACAATTTTTGGAGTACTACTAGCATGTGTCATCGTATGTAAGGTGACTATAAACGTATAGCATAAATCGTAGGACGCCATAAACTTCTATATATATATATATATATATATATATATTGTATAAGAAAGTAGGTCAAAATTGAAAGATAAAATATTAGAAAATGAGATATACCTGCGGTATGAAACAGGGATGATACCAGCCTTCCAGTTAGCGAGTTTCATGAAAGCAGGTTTAGCCATATCGAAATGGGTTCTAGGAGGATTGCACCAACCACCATTGTTGGAGTCTTGGTACCAATTAGGAGGGCAGAGGTTGGTGGCTGTTACCACAGTCGATGGGTTTCCATAGTAACAATGTTTTGACTGCACACACATTATTTGGAAACATTGGCCGCATCCGTAACCGTCTTTGAACAGCGTAGTGCTTAGTGCCGCCGTGTTCAGGCCGTAGCCGCTGTTAAACAGGTTTCCGTACCCACATGCACCACCTGCATATATACGTATTATATGTCATTGCTTGTATGTATGAGTATATATGTATGTAATGTTGTTTATCGGTCAATCACGGATTTATAAGAGGAATAAATTTTGCAAATTTCTTAATTTTTGAGAAAAATACGTTAATGACAAAAAAAAAACAAAACAAAGAGATTTATGAGTCAAACATCATGCTTGTGATCCAGGTGATTATTTTGTTTTGGGTAAATTTTTAGGTGATATTGTGTATATATGTACGTAATAGTGAAATGTGAGATGTTTATTTTACGTACCCATGGTTTCACTGCCGGTCTCGTCTCCATAGAAAGTGGCATGAGCGTATCTCCACGCGCTAGGCCTATAATATCCGGCGACGAACTCACCAGAGATGGCGAAAACGACGAAGACAATTGCAAAGAACTTTTTGAAGCTCCAAGAACTTGAGATCGGACCCATCTTTAGTTTCCTTTTCTTTTGGATGGGTTTTCTTAGGGTTTGTTTGTGGATGAACAATCGGATTAGAGACTATCTTATATAGAGACTCTTTTTAACAATAGTGGTGGTGGCTACGTGAGGGTCATGATCCCTTTTCCGGTTTTTTAATGGAGACTTTTTTCAGTACTGATTGCGATTTGTTTCATTTCACTGAATGTTTGCAATGTCTATATTAAATTAAAGTGAGAGAAATAAAGTAAAATTTTTTGTTTGAATGAAGTTTTAGAATATAGTATAATTTGACGTGCGAGCAGGTTCTTTTAATGGTTCTTGTACCGACTTTATCTAATCTCGTCTACCTATATAGTCATAGGGTATGCTATGTATTTATTTTTATTGTATATATTAACTTGTTTTTAAAATTTAGTTTTTCTTTTGTCAATGATAAGTTGATATAACGGCATACATTATGTATGGTCGTTCTAATGTTGCCAAATATATATGTTAATGATAAGTTTAATATAATGTCCTGATTAATGCTTATACCGTCGACTAAACTTTTCATATATCCATCGTGGGAGAATCTATATTATAATGATACACTTTCAATACTCCTAAGTCTATCCACCTCAGCAAGTTTACGGGCCCCACGTGTGTTATTAGAGAAAACAAAAACGTATAACATTTTGTAAGATTGAATGTTATCGATGAGTGATGAAATGGTCCAGTGGTGTAAGTTGGTGACTAGAAGTTGGTACTGCGAGTGCGCGGGTTCGAAACGCAGTGTTTGCATGTAATTTTTTTTTTTAATTTGGGCTTTTCGGGATACCTAAAAGCTTAGGGAGATTCATAATGATTTTTTATGCTGGTTGTTGGGATACAAAATGGCTTAAGTATTTGAAACTTTATGAGACCATCTTAGATACTTTTATAAGAAATGTTATCATGTTCTAACCCCCAATATCATTTCAATTCAATTATAATAATCAAATAAAATAAAAACATATTTTTCAATAATAAATATTTACCCCGAACCATTCCGATTGGCCATAAATCTCATATACATCACAATTAAAAAAATATATATATATACTACATAATTTCAGAAAGAAAATTACACTACTAAACACAAGTTCTTTTTTGTCTTGTCTCCATTAAATTATTTTTTACATGAAAGCAGTAATAACAGTAATGTTCGATAAAATCACTAATAAAGGGAATACTCGATAAAATCACTACGAAGATAAAATATGAAAATATCAACCCATATGAATTTGATGTTTATTCTTTTATCAGACTAATCAAGTTGTGACTTCTAATGTTTCATTTATCACCATTATAGAGAAGCCAGATAAACAAATGTTAAAAAAAAAATAGCAAAGTCTCATACACAAAACTACACAACACATCAACAATGTATCCAACCCCCGCGCTTGCGCGGGGACTATGCATCTAGTTATATTTAATAGTCTGGTAGGTGCTTACTTCTACGGGATAGTGAATTTTTAAGAGTATCTAATAAGTAATAAGCTAGTAAATAGCATATTGGTGAAGCTAATGGTTGTATAATTTTTTTAAGCTATAAAGCGGTAACTTGATGTAATTCCCATTTGTATTGTATCATAGTTGAGCAAGTTTTCTTCAAAATCCTTTCAAAAAGGAATACATTTTAGAAACAAGACTGCTCTAGTCTGAGGGAAAGGTCAAATAACCCTTGTGCCGCCCGTACGGTTATCTCTATGAGACTATATATGAATTTCACAAATTGACCTTTAATTTTTAAGGTCAAATAAACTTAGTATATTCTCCTAAAATTTCTTATTATACTTAGAGAGGCATTAATATTGGAAGAGAGACATTGGCGATGTCATTTGAGCATGAATTAAAAATCCTAATGCAGTCAAAAGCCTCTCGTATATTATTGACATATTCAGCTTAACTTGTAACTATTTTAAAATCTTAAATTCTTAGTCATTCTAATGATTTTTGCCACTTCAACGCTAACCATGTTAGTATTTTTTTTTTATATAAAAAATAACTGGAACTGCAATTTTTAACAAGTTTTGACCCTTGTTCGGGAACTCGCTAGGCGCTACGCGTGCGGCACATACGGGCCTAGAGATTTATTAGAAACGTGGAAAAAAATCGGGGAATATGCGGGGAGGAATTTTTATATTTTTATACATATAATACCTAATTTATATGTATAAAACTAAGTATTTATGTAAATAACATAAAAATTAAGAATTATTAGACAACTTTTATTATAATTTAAGTGAAACAAAATATTATTCTAAAGACGTTACATTGCAAAATATATTAGCATGGAAACAAATGTAGAAGAAGTATAAATATACGTAACTAACGAAATAAGCTTCACATAGTATAAATTATTGGGCCTTTTGAGAAATTTTTTTAATAAAACCCATAAAACATAAAATGCACGTGGTTATCTTCTCCATTTGTTCTTATCAAATCACCGGAAACGAGTGAAACCACCGACGATTATACGGCGCCTTGAACACTTCTACGGTTCAGGCGGACATAACTCGGGTCACCGCCTAGCAACACCGAACAGCCCTAACTCGCCGCGCTGCACCTCCGAGTACCGTATTCTCGGCCGTAAAATCGGTTATGCGGCCGAGTTTTTGAACAAGGGTTTTGACACATTAATCGATCACGCAACCAATGTGCTGATACTTTAGCTAGGATATCTCTACAGACACCAATATTGTGGTCTTAATTTCATTCTTGTCTTCGTTTTCTTAAGGAGTCATGTAATGATCGACAAACATCCTTATGAAATCGAAGTTTAGTTGGCAACACAAATGTAGCAACTAACTAATATAGAAATCATGAGTATCGAGAAAAATCAGTAACTAGGAAACATGTTGTGAAAACAATATTATAAAATACCGTCTGTGCAGGCACCTATACGGTACTTGCGCTGCTAATTTACGTACAGAAATCATCATATGTGGCATGTTATACGGTTAGATAAAAAGCGGGTGCATAAACGGCCGCATAATTCGCATATTGTGAATGTATATGCGTTTGTATTTGCAAGTGAAACATTGTTAGAACTTGGAAAATTAGCAGTGTAGAATCTAGTACGTAGGTTGACGATGGTGGAACATCACTAATATATATATTTAGTTTGGAATAGAACCAAACTAAGTTTGCAATATAACATAATTGTTAAGTTACAAACCAAACCAAATGAGTGACTAATTTGCTAAGAATGGCAAAGAAATTTTTGTCTTTTACTACTAGTTCATCGGGATGTGAAAGAGCTTGAAGTTCTTTTGAAGGAGTAAGATTTTATAATTGTAAATATATGGTTCTAAGATATCTTATATATTAAAAGAGAAGTCACAACCTAGATTCATGTGTGATTTTTTTAAAAATGGACTATTCCTTAAGAATATTATGAAGATTATCAAATGTTACATATTTTAATGATAATATCTTTAAATATCTTTATTTTTCTATTTGAAATACAAATGAAATAAATTCAGAAAAATATTTTTTGACATCTTTTTAAATTGTATTTCCATAATATTATCCCATATATTTATCTTTTATTCGAAATACAAATGTTTTTGTTTAAGATATTAAAATTTATCTAGATAGCATTATATATTCCTAAATCCTAAATAAAAAAACTATATATTAGAGTTTAACCCACACAATTTTTTTTTCTTTTTTTAAATATAACACTTTGATAGTATTATAAAAAAATTAAATATATGATTAACATTTAATGTTATATATTATATAACTCTATAATTTAGTTGTTTAAGTTTTTTATTCTTCATTATTAATATATAGTAATTTGTTTTATATATTTTAATTTATATTCTTATTGATTGTTATTACTAAATAATATATTTTTGAGTTTGATACATAAATTATAATTTAAAATAATTAAATTATAATCTTATTTAACATAGAGTTTTAATTTCTGGAATTTGCATACAATACATTTTAAAATTTATTTAGATACACAATAGATAAATATTTGTTAGTGATAATTTATATTCTTTTGTTGTGTTTAAAAATGATATTTTAACATCTATTATTTTAGTATTTTGCACGATTTTATAAGTAAATATATTATTATTTATTAATATTTTTTATAAATTATAAATAAAAAGAAAACCCGCACAGTTGTAAGATCTAGTTTTAACTTAATATTGATGATTTTGTTTTTTTTAATGCAGATAATACAAAAAAAAAACGCAATCGGCTTAGTATAAGTATGATGAATAATCTTGTATTTGTCCAATTTAATACAAAATTGATGAACAAAAGAAAAAAATAAAAGGAGAAGAATATAGACATATTGATTGATGATGATGCTACTAATGCTCAAGAATAGCTTGTTGAAAGTGTGGATGGAGAACATGAAACAGCGATGGGTGTAGGAGCTGGTCATGCAGAAGGAGAGACACGTGAGGAGGACATGGTTGATGTTAGAGAATTATACTTCAGTTTTAATTTAAAAATACATTTAACTCAATATACTTACAACATGTATGACTCAACTAATCTAATTTATATCCAAAATTAAAAATCTAGCTACAGTAAAAATATATAATTTCATAATAACAGTAATCTATTTATTTTTATACATGTAAATTACAGAATGACTCAAAACATATTAAAAAGAAAAATAAAAAATTAACCAATTGCATGTTAGTTCTTTTGTAGAATTTATATATATATATATATATATATATATGAAACTTTAAGATATTATCGTTATATTTATTTATGTAATTTTGAATCAAACACGCCAGCTTAATATTTATATTATTTTAACCATATTATATATTAAGTTGTACATAATCTAACTATAATATATTTATCTATCTAAAAAATAATCAACCTAAATGAAAATAAGAAAATTAATCAATTTTCTTATATTTAGAATAAAAAATATTATAATTGAATTCAAAAATAGATATTATCCAATATACTGAATTGATAACTAAATCGACTACTGATCCAAAATAATAATAATATATCTAAAATCATATGTATAATTAGAACAATATAATATTATCAATATAAATATACATAAAAACTGATTTAAGATTAAAACTAAATATCAATCAATTATTAAAAAAAATTACTTTTATAAATATTCATACTCGGTTTATATAAAACATTAAACATTTTTGACCAAATAAGACCCATTAAAGTTAGAACTAAAAAAGTCCAACTATATGTTTTAACCTAATGTATGTTGTTGTCGTCGGTAACACACAAACAAAAGAGAAGAAGAAAAAAAACTCGTTGATCAAAAAAAAAAAAAAAAGGAAGAACTCAAACCTAAAGCGATTTTTTGTTGTCAATGTCGTCCCCGATTCCGTCGCTTCCTTATGATTTGGTATTGCTCTGCGTGGCACGTGTCTCAACTCTCAAGGATGTACTATCCGACTCTCTCGCTCGTCTCCAAGAGCTTCCGATCGCTGGTATCATCTCCAGAGCTTTACAAGACGCGGTCTCTCAAACTCTTTGAGAGTTGTCTCTATGTGTGCTTACAAACTCTTGATGTTACCGCTGACTGGTACACCCTCTGCCTTAAACCTGATAAAACTCTTAATAAAAAAAACAAAACCCGGTACGCTTTGGCTAGAGTCCCTGCTTACGATCCCAAGCAAAGTAAATGGGACATGGTAGGGAGAGGGATGCGTGGGCGTATGCGTTCAGATGCTTATTGCGTGATAGGGAACGTTTTGTACTCTGCTTCTAACGGAGTGTTCAAATGGTATGATACTGAGGGAAGAAGGTGGAGAGATTTGCAGGGTTTGGTAGGACTACCTAAGATCACTACTCCTCGTCATGATAGAGGGATTATTAGATTGGGTGATTATGGTGGAAAGATGGTGGTTTTTTGGGGTCATGTTAGTATTGACCCTTGCTCTTTATCTTGCAACTGTTGGTCTTGCCGTTACACGGAGATTTGGTGTGCAGAGATTTCGCTTGAAAGGCGGCAGGGCGGTGAAATTTGGGGGAAAGTTGAGTGGTTCGATCTACTGCTTGAAATCAACGGACCTTATCGGGCTGAGCAGGTTCTTTCTACTACAATGTGATGAATGAACTGAACGCGCCTCTTTTTTTAGATAGTTTGATACTACTATCGGTGAATGCGTGTGTTAAGCTTAGTTATGCGACTGTAATCAATGTACTTTGTTAAGCTTATTTTGTGTCCAAAACTTGATTAATAAACCCTCTTTGGAGGGAGCACACGACTGACTTGTGCTCTTTTACATTCGTGAAAAAATACTAACAATAGTGTGTTAATTTGTGAAACTCCTCAGTGTTCTCATTCATCAGAGTTTGGCATATAAAGCCGTAGAGATTACAAAATGAATGGGGAGTGGTTCCACAGTACAATAGAGATTAACCACTTATCAAAGATATACAATATTTACAAATCATATTCCTAATAAATAGATTTGATTATAAGCCTTCTTTGATCAAACCGGACGAGCTCTCAACCCAATTGAACCGGGGAAACCAAAGGCTGGTTCGAGAAAAACGCCTTCAAGTTAGCTATAGCAACCTCAGCAACACTTTCCAAAGCCCCAGGCGTGGCCACAGCAGCATGTGGAGACAAGACAACATTGTCCATACCAAACAACTCCTCAGGAACTTGTGGTTCTTTCTCAAACACATCTAAACCAGCACCACCGATCACACCTTCCACCAAACACTTCACCATCTCCTTCTCATCAATCAGTCCTCCTCGCCCCACATTGATAATAACGCCGTCCTTCCCAAGCAACTCCATCACTTCTCTGTTCACAACATGCCTCGTTTGCTCCGTCAGAGAGCAGCAGAGCACGAGGACATCGTTGTCTGCTGCCAAGGAGAGAACATCAGGGTAGTAACGGTAAGGAATGCTCTGTTTCTGAGTTCTCGAGTTGTAAGAGATGATGCATCCAAAGGGTTCGAGTCTTTTAGCAACACGGGATCCGATACTCCCAAATCCAATGATCCCAACACGCTTTCCACTTACCTGCAACAACAAACACAGATTCTCACATAACACCACAAAGACCTTTTACAAAACAGAACAAACTCTTTAACTTCCACAAAGAGTAAAGCTTTATCTACAGATTCTCTCTACCCCCACAAGAATCTAACACTTGTTCTACAGATCCTGAATCCCCACTATCCATAAATCATTTTTAAATTCAAAACTTTTCAAATAATTCAAGAAAAAACATTCACTTTCAAGAAACAGAGAGAGCTCTGTTTTTAGCAACAAGAGAAAAACAAACAGAGTTATGGTGAAGGAACCTTGCTGCCTAGTCGGAACCGCCCCAGTTTCTCCCAACTACCAGACCGGACGTAACGATCTCCTGCCGGAATACGACGGAGAACACTTATCAACAACACGACAGCGCAATCCGCCACGTCATCAGAGAAGGCGTCTCCAGCGTTGGTAACAGCGATGCCACGACGCTTGCATTCAGCAAGATCAACATGATCGGTTCCGACGCTTGTGCAGACGAGAAGCTTGAGAGAAGGGAGGAGGGAGAGAAGCTCAGCGTCTATCTTGAGCCTGCCGATGTTGACGAAGGCAGTGACGGAGGAGGCGTGGCGGGAGAGGAAGATGGGTAGCGGATCCGGTGAGAGGTGAGCGTTGAGAAGACGGAAGTTACGTTTGAGGTGGTCGTCCATGTAAGCTAGAGTAGGTGGGCGGTGAACGAGGACAAGCGGAGATTCCGAAGATTCCGACATGTTGACTTGAGAAGACAACGTATTACGTATGGTAGCTGTTGTGCCTAACTGTTTTTATAGTAGTACTTCCGTTAGGTACTCATCAAACTATATTATTCGTCGGGTTATGGCATGAAACAGAGCACTTTCGTCCGTTAAAGATGCTTAAAAGTTTAATATTGATATTTTGTATTTTTTATATTTGAAAGCTGTCATGTTTTTTATATTAACAATGAACTTTTTAAAAAGCAAGACAGTTGTTCAAAAGAATATCTCGAGAAAAACTCTCCTACTCCCATTAGTGAAATTACTTATTAACTATCATATGATTATTTAAAAATAAAATTTAAGTTTAAAACTTTTTTTTTGAAAAAGAAGTTTAAAACTTGTTAAACAGAAGTTTTTAGATACGTATAAAACTTGTGGTGGTGATGCTCTACATTGTTTTCCGCGTCATTTCGTGAAACTCTCATCATATCGAGAATGTTAATTAAGACACTCTAACAAAATTGTTAGTGAAACAAACAAAAAAGACGTTTTAACAACCACCACTAGTTTCAGTCTTTTCGTTTTTAAAGAAAGATATTTCAATTCATGAATGGTTCTTAATGTTTTGTAACGTTTGAGAAAGGTTGAGAAAGCTATTTTGAATTGTTTTGAGAGTACGAAGCGTACTGAGAGATGGAAATTTCAATCATACATGGCATTGGGGGGTCCCTCCTGGCTTCATGATTGTATTGCGAGAGAACGAAATGGAAGTAATTTTTGACTCTTATTTATAGTGCTTTTGCTTCCTTTTTCATTTGTCCTACCAGATGGTAGATGGCTTTGCCTAGCATTGTGAACATTGTTTCTTTGCTTTAATAATAGCATTCCAGACGTTCAAAAAAAAAAAAATTTATGATATAAATTAAACTATTTGTTTAACAAAGAATTAAACTATAAGTTACTTTCTCATTAACGAAAACTAATCTCATGCAACGCTAACTTGGCTGCGAAGAACGTTGGTGTTGATGATGGTCTGGTTTCAGGCCCCTTAATTTCCTAGCCGGACCTCATACGGTCATTGTATAGGTGGTCATGTGTTTCTATATGCCATGTCTTCGTTTTTGTTTCAGTTATACAATCTTTTTGAAATATGGCCCAGAAGACAAAAACAAAAACTCATTTGGAGTTATTAAAAAGTAACGCTTCTAATACTTAAAGGGTGTAACTAATAAATGTGTTTAGGAATAGATGGAATGACAATTGGTGGAATAACATGAATGGAAGTACAGCAAAAAATGGAATGGATTCATTCCATTCATTCCTCATCAATTTTGTTTTGGAATAATTTCCTTTGTATTTTGTGTTTTTATTTTTGGAATCGATAGAATGACCATTCCATTCCATTCCATTCAAGTTATATGGTGAACTTTCTTTTTGAATTGATGGAATAAGTCATTCAACATCATTCCATTCCAAAAACTAATAATCCAGTTGCAACCAAAATATTTATTTATTTATAATAACCAACAATCACTACTACTCCCTCCGTTTTATATTAAGTGTCGTTGTAAATAATTTTTTGCGTTATAAAATAAGTGTCGTTTTCAGTTTTCAATGCAAAATTTATTAATTTTATGTGTAATTTGTTTTTCTATTGGTTAAAATATGGTTCGTTGTATAGGTAATTGTGTTTTTATATAGGAAATAAGTAAAATTAATTATTTATTTAATCTGCGTGCACAACTGTAAAGTGACACTTATAATGAAACATAGGGAGTATATGATTTAGAAATTCATAAATCAAGACAGATAGTTTGCAGTGTTTCAAAAAAAAAAGAAAAGACAGATAGTTTGCATAACATTGCACACCCTTCTTCTAATTGAATACAACTCTAAAAGTTTAAGCACGATGTGATTATCTTTTCTTGAAGCTCTGAGAAGTTAATCTCTATTCCTTTCTCAACCTGCAGAATTTTCAAAACTTTCCTAGAATTAGTTTTTAATCATTTTCTCTTCATAATTCACTGAAAACAGAATGAAAAATAAAAAAATTACCTCACAAACAATGGTGTGTATGAATCTTAGGTGCAGTTTAGTTGAGATGCAACTAACGACATCAAAGCATTGTTCTTGAACCAGAAGCTGAAGAACACTCGAGAGACAAGAATCGTGTCTGAAACAGCAACTTGCTACTATCTCGATACCGACCAAACAAGTCCTCACCTTAACATCGATATGTGTGTCTCCAACACAAGAACAATATAACGATAGTGATGATGCTAATGATCTTATAGGACAATATCCTGCTGAAGATGGATGAGTAATAGATCTCTTGATTCGATCTCTTTTCTCGCTGATTTCTTTGATCTTCTTTTCTAGGTCTTTGATGTAATTCACAGCTTCGTGAACGTGATCTGACGAAGAACGCTTACCCTATTTATGTATCACCGTAACTAGTTTAAAGCCGTATCTACAAATGTTTTTAATTAACTTTTCCTACCAAAATTTAATCCAGAATTATTCGTTATGTATATTAAATACTTCCTCTTCATTATAAGTGTCACTCTACAGTTGTGCACACGGATTAAAGAAACAATTAATTTTACATATTTCTTATATAAAAACACAATTACCCATACACCTAACCATATTTTAACCAATAGAAAAATAAATTACATAATAAAATTAATAAATTTTATATTGGAAAATGACACATATTTTGTAACGTAAAAAATTCTCTACAACGACACTTAATATGAAACGGAGGGAGTAACATTTCGTACGACTAAGGAGGTAATTGATATCTAATAGAGACGATTTTTGTGGGTAAAATGTTAAAAATAGAGACGATAATTGAGAATGATAAAATATATTTACCTTAACATATTGAGCTGGCAATATATATCTTAGGTGTTTGAAAAGAGATGTGACTTCTTGCCTTCTTTGTTTCTCAATCTCTCTATGTTTCGCTCTCTTGTTCTTGGGCTCAGCCTCTTCTTTTGTGGTTTCATCTGTCACGGTCGTCTCACGTGTCCTTTGCCTTCCCACGTTTTCAGTACCGGCACAATGAAAGATCAGATTAGATGGATTAGGTTCTTGGAATGTGAACGTTGGAGGCGTTAACAAACTCGAGAGATCCAATTCATTTTCAAAGGCAAAATCTACTGTGAACGATGAAGAAGATGCAAAATCCATTGGATGACGCCTTTCTTTTTCTTGCTGGTGTTTGTGGGAACTGTTTTGGTAATAAGAGAATCTATGGATGCTATGAGTTGTTTGGTTTTAATAAAAACAAAAGGCTATGCAGAATTTGGGTAGCAATGCAGTGAGTCATTTATAATATCCAAGATTTTTCTTTTCCTTTTCAAGTGTGATTATTTTTTTTGTTCCTTCTTTAGTGAGACATCAGATGTGACGGCAGATTTGTAACCTCAAAGAATTTAACGTTAATAATCTCTGAAAGATACAAGTGTGTGGGGTCATACGTAGGTGGTAGGCCTTGTCCTACGAGTGAGTGGGGAATATACTATTTGTTTATTTGTACAGAAATAAAATATTTGTTTCATCTGAAAAAGCTTTTTACGAGATTAAACTTGAGCTGCTCATTTAGCGGCTATCAATTTACTAAATTTACGTAAGGAACATATGTTTAACATGTGCGTGAAGCATATCTTTGCGTTTCACTTTCATCCGCTAGTAGATTCATGAATGTTTAATTTTCAAAAAGAATAAAAAATTCGAGCAAATGCGTTTTTTTTTTTGACAAATGGCTTCAGATGAGCCAATTGTTTCAGTTAAGTTTTCTCTGTTTATTAGAACAAAAATTATTTTTCTACGTTGTAAATCAAACAATGCATTTTATTTAAGTATAGTATATGTTTTTTTTACAAAAGTATAGTATTTGTTGATATAAGCTAAACCATAATTCGTTTATGATCTACATTTTGTTTGGATTAGATAAAAGAAATCGTGTCCATGTTATGTGATAGTAAATATCATGGTTATATGCTATAGCCTACCCCGACCAAAATGTTTGTAAAAAGTTTTACGCCACTATAGGCAAGTTATCATTAGTTAATGAAGATACGTGCAAGATATCATATTATATCCCAGATTAAACTAACTCAAGGAACCAAGGACGAGTGTCTAAGTTTAGTCAAGGAAACGTAATCAAAACCTTCCAATTGATTTAATTTAAATTCATAGTATTTTTCAGTATTCGTAGTATTTTTTTTTACGTTAACTTGTATGATAAACAAGTTTATGTCGCTTTCAAGATACCAAGGATATCAAAATATATTGTTTATATCATAGGCCGCCCCATAACATTTTGATCATAGACCTATATTTTATATTTTTCGGTACTATTTTCATCAAACAAAATTTTGGTATTTTATGTCAATTTCATGCGGAAAGTTAAATAATTTATATCAAGCAGTGTTAAGAAAATAAAATACGTCTTTCTCTAGTCATAATGCCATGGCATCTAACAAAAGATTGGTAACATCGATCGCACCTTTTTCAGGGACAAAGACCAACGATACGAGATTTCTATTGATCACTTGATTAGCCATAACAACACTGATTAACGTTGGTATAAATCCCTGAAACTTTATACCATTAGATAAACATAAATCCGGTTTAGTGTTAAAAAAAAACTCAATCCGGCTTAGAGATGGAATTTGGTCGTCATTTTTCAACAATCAAGCGCATAAATATGAAAGTCGCTAAGAAAAAAACACATATTACCTGTCCAGTGTTTTCCATGTGAATTTCCATATATTTCTGTCTAAATAAATCTATCTCAAAATTCAAATATAGAGATACCATATGATAATCCTAAAAATGATTTTATCACAGATATAATATACAATGATCAAAATAGATTTAATTCAAAAGGTAAAATACACTTAAAATTATAGGTTAAGTAATCTAAACTTATGTTTTAGATTTAAGAGCACCATTAACCCTAACACCTCTAATGGGGTGCTTAATCATTTTTTAGTAATAAATGTATGTTAAGCATTCTCCTTAAGCAACCTTTAATTTTTGTCCTCCAATGCAAGTATTTTATTTAAGAGTTCTTAAAAAATCAAACATTGTTTCATTTAAGATAAAATTCACTACTACGAGACTATAAGAACATTGACACATCTGATGTCAAAAAAAAAACAAAAGAACATTGACACATTCATACAGAGACTCCCGTGACTACAATGCTACACTGAACAGAAGAGTACATGACACTGAGCTTCTCCGTGACTACAATACTACACTCTTTGACTCTTTTGACATGAAAAACGAAGACAAGAACATGAGACAGAAACCAAGCATTTATATGATTAATAACCAATCTTTATATCACCAATAAGTAAGACAAGAAGATGAGACAGAAAACACAACAACAAAAGTTTATATAATTAATAACCAGAGTCACATAACAACAACAAGAACATGAGACAAAGAACACAAGATTACACAAACATAAGCATTTATATCAGCCATAAGAAGAACAAGAAACATAACTATGCTTTTGACATTTATCTAACACACATTTAATAGAGCATACACAACCATAAACTTAAGCTAACCAAACCATTTAATAGCAACGATTCAATTCAGAGCAGACACAACCATAAGCTGAAGCTAACCAAACCATTTATTAAGCTAACCAAACCATAAACTTAAGCTAACCAATGTAAAGGAAGAAGAATTCAAATTGTAAAAAAGACTTAATCTTTCCTTTGAGAATACAGAGGACGGCCTCCCATATGCTGGACGAAGAACTCATACTGGTTCTGGATGGCATTTACTTTCTTAGAGTTAGCAAACATGGATTGAAACCATTCTTCTTTGTCATCATATTACCCTACAAGAACACAAGTCTATAAGTGGAATCCTTACCTAAAAAAATCACTAGAGAATAAAGAAAAAGACTTTTCACAAACAGACATGGATCGAATTAAACCGATTTGGTATGCGATCATATCATGGACGTAATCAATCCTCAAACCAACAACTGTATTACAATATGCGTTATTTATTCATCTCCATGCCTTATCATATGTTTGCTTTGGTACAGAGCAGCACTATCTTATTTTTTTCTGTAAACTTAATCAGCACTATCTTGAAGTGAAGAATCTTTACCACTTTGAAAAACCTGTCGACTATGGGTGTATATATGGTTGAACTAGATTAAAACCAATAACGTATAAGTGTTATACTGTGATTTACTCTATTTTCCACTGATCAGGTGAAAAAGGGAAAAAGAATTGTTAATTATTCATTTTATTCCTTTTTTTTGTCTTTTGCGGGTTGAGAATAAAACTTTTACCCTCTTATTTGAAGTTAAACTTGAATAATATAAATAAACAAAATATTTTATATGTATGCTCATATTCTACTCTAGTTTCCATTTTTTATTTTTATTTTATCTGTTACTCTAATTCTTTTTCACCTAATTACTCTAAAGTGTTTCTAATCACACTAGATAATGTAACTATTCGTATAAATTATTTAGTAATAGTTTTAAACATATAAATATAGGTTATTAAGATATTTTTTAGGTTTTTTACAAACTTATAAAAACCTAACTCAAATCTAGTCCAAAATATTATAATATCCTAACAGAATAATTTTAAAATACAAATAAACCGATAGCTGAAAATTTTATTTGTATCCAAACGTGTATTAATGCCCATATTTAAACAATTTTTTTTTTTGGAAACAAAATTGTTAAACGGTTTGAATTCTTGTACTAATAGAACAATTTCATTCAAATATATGTAATTATTATGATTAACATGTAAAATAAATGAATACGAATTATTATGGCAACTAAAATTAATGAGGTAGTTTGAAAAAGTGAAAAATCTCAAAAAAATATAGAACACTAAAAATAAGTATGTATTGTTTTCTACTTTTATAATAAATGTTGTCAAGTTATCTCAATCAAAATAATTAATAAAATCATAGAAATAAGTGAAATAAAGAAAAAAATATAATAATTTTTTTTTGTAAATAATAGAAATAAGTGTATTTTTGATAAATTATTAATATTTTTATTTTAGTTTTAATAATATAGATGTAAAGAAAAATAAACATACATTTCATATATGTTTTATGATAAATTCTTAATATTTTATTTTTGGATTCTTAACAAGTTGTTAGTTTTTCTTGTTTATTTTATTTTATTCTTCAAGACAAATGTATGTTTGGTTGATATCTCAATTTGCCGCAAATATATTATAAAAAGAAATAACCTTATTTTAATATAATAAAAAGAAATAACTTTATTTTACTCTTTAAGACAAATGTATTTTTAAAAAGGTTGTTCTTGAAGAATAAAATAAGGTTTCATTAACTAGGTTATTCTTGTGTTCCAAAAAAGGTTGTTAGTTGGGGTATTCTGTTAGTTGATACCAGCTAATCACGATAGCTTTCAGGCCAAGTACATAACATTTAAACTTTAAAGGGCTAAATTTTTTTTTAAAAAAAATCCTTAATCACAAGTTTTTCAGTATAGTGGAGATTAAAAACGATATAGTATTTCCAATTATTCATATAAGTTGGAATCTAATTGCAATGGATGACATGGACACTTGGAAGATATAAAATGATTTATTTTCTTGCAATGATTGCCGGTTTAATGAGTTAAGGGGGCTGGGGTCAAGATTAGGTCTGACATTTGGATCTTTTATAGAGATGCGGTCCCTTTGATCTTTCTCCCATATTAGTACATTATTGTGTTTTTGTGTGTGTATGATTTCAACATGGTGATGACCATGTTGGCAGTTATTATGAACATCACCATTCACCAAGAACTCATGCATGATATGTATATAAATAAAGGTGAAGAAAGACGTGACAATTTTCCCAATTCTTTGATTGTATTCTTTTAGTTTTCTTTGTTTTAATGCAACTTTTTTTTGTAACTTAAAAACCGAAAATCGTCCAATCTCATTTCATCTGTTAAGTTTTAACTGAAGTCAATTTTTAATCAACCTTAACAGAATAATAATCCAAAAATACTGAATGTACATTAAAAAAGTACAATTGTGAACTAAAAATTTCTTTTTTATAGATCAAGAACAACCTTTTTTGGAACACAAGAATAACCTAGTTAATGAAAAACAAACACACTAAACTTCAGTATATCTGTGAAAATCCAATTAGTTCAATAGTGAAAGTTAAAATTATTAATGTTCTTACACTATCAGAAAAATTGGTTTTAAATCATTGAAAATTATATATTAACAACTACACATATTGTAGGAAAA